CTGTCTTCATTTTGAAATAACCATTCTAATCTCACGCCGCCGGGCTTTGCCATTAAAAACAGATCTGTGAAGTGTTATGGCATATGGATATTTGAAATGGCACTCAAAGTTTGGCTACGAAAAGTGGGAAACATGGTTTTAAAGCAAAGCCTTCATTGCGTACACTTTGCGAGATTCAGTTACCTTTTCAATAATCAAATACCAATTTCCTACAACACAATTATAAAGACAAATTTTCAAAAGAATTTATTGCAACGATCTCTTCTTTTAAATGTTATTTGCTGAACTATTCACGACAATTACTAGCTATTTACAACACTCACCTGAAGCAGGTCCGAAATATAGAATCACTACTGACAGACACAAACCCAGTGTTTCCATCTTGTTCTTGTCATGAAGTGGCGAAGGCAAAGTACTTTACTAGCCAATTTATGCACCAGCATCGACAGATAAAAATGACTGTTACGCATTCATGAATTTCATGCAACTCTGAAAGTGAAAGAGTTGCTGATGAGCGCTTACAGTTTATAAACCTGGTGACCTTTAAGTAAGTTTGCATTTCTGAATAAGAGGGGATAAACAGAACAAAACAAGGAAAAGATATACGAATGTATAGTTTTTAGCGGGATATAGGAGGCCTCCCTCACAGTCCTTGTATTCCAAATTCAAGGTAACTTGTCTGTTCTAACAAAAATGCTGTTCAGACTTCTCTGTATTACCCTAGAATAAAGTAAAGCATTGAAGTTGTGCACAAATCCTCACCCTGTATCTCCAATGTTGCATTCTCATTTAAAATTGTGTAAGGACTTGTCACTTGGCATTTGACGGTCAGGCAAGCATGATCCCTTTTTGAATTAAAGGAAATTTCACTCATTAAATCAACACAGTCAGGATGGTTCGTGTTTGGAGAGGAACTCTTGTTTGCAGTGTGGTAAGGAACACGAGGATCAAGATACCACTCAATGATGGGTTCTTCTTTGTAGGAGGTTACATTACATATAAATGTTACAGGTTGACCCACAATGACTGGTGAGGGCTTCTGGGTCACAGCAAGCTCTTCATTCACTCCTAATAGGAGACACGAATAGACAAACTCCAGTCACTTCCGGAGATTTATTTAATGCACGCTATAAAAAAGTTCAAAGCACTCTGGTTCTAAGAGGATCTAACCTCTAATGTATGAGGATCGAGCTTATCTAATGCAAGAAATACCAGCCTAATTAATGTGCACATCAAAACAAAAAAATATTTATCTCGGTCTGGAAATCTGGAAGTATAAATCTCATTATCATGTTTTCACACAGATCTTAAGATATCATCATGTCACAACACATAACTGCGATTTCACGTATTTGAAAAATGACAGAAATGTAAATGTGGATATTTCTGAGCCTTGGTCAGCTTTGGCACAGTTTCGCTTCGTAACGTAGGAAAAGCTCTTACCCGTGCTTATGAAATGACTCGAAAATCAAGCATTCCCATCGTTAAGGAAGTAGAAATGAAATAAACAGTACTGAAAAAGACTTCTGCAGAAATTCAAACAAAACTAAACAAAATAAAACAAATAAGCCGGAACGTGTCACGTGAAATAGAAACTCAGAACTAATAATGCAGATTTTAGTCGGTTATGATTCACTGCTTTCCTCAGTTTCAAAACCATTACATGTACTCGAGCTTAACCCTGCTTTCAATTCATTAAACAAATTTTTTTATGAGATTTAATTCAAAATCAAGCAAATCCTGGAATTTAAAGGGCTTAACACCCCCCCGTAAAAGCAAACCGGAAGTTAACGAGAACACGCAATGATTCCCTCTTCATGGATTTTAAGCAATTCTGATGTGTACATCGTGCGTAATGACACGTGTTCAATATTACTTTATTAAACTTCATATTTTACAGATAACATGTTGATCTTTGTTTTCATTGTTTGGGGGGTGTTGCCATTACTTAGACATTAAGACACCGTAACATAAAGACACACGCTTTGATTATTTTACTGTTTTAGTAATTTTAGTAAGCGGGCATTTGTAAGGAACTTAATTAAATTGGAGAGTATTATGATATTTAACAACAGCAGGAATCAGTACCTTGTATCACCAACGAAGCGATTACAGAGAGCTTATCAGGAGTTGTCACTTTGCAGTTGACATTAAGTCCAGCATGCTTACTGATCAAATTCAAAGAAAACTCTCCAATCATGTCAGAGCAGTTTACATTATCGTGGTTATGAGAAGTTTTCGTAGTCGTGGATAGGTTATATATCAGATGAGAACCAAGATGCCTCTGGATTGATGAACCGTGAGCAAAGCATCACGCAGTACATGTGAACGTTACATGATGATTGGCTAATGCCGGTGAAGGTTACTGAGTTAAATTGACCTTGTCATGAAACCCTAAAGGTATGAACAAATAAAGTTCCCTTTGGAAGATCTACATAACCTACTATATTAAAGGTGACAATCTGTCCCGACTGCATATTCTAGTACCAGCAA